TGAAAGGCAGGCAGGCTAGGAAATTGGTGTGTGTGGGTTTTTTTTAATATTGAACATGGTGAGACACCAGCCGAAGTGGCTCAGCAAGAGAATGATTCCATTCCTGTGTTAGGATTCGAATATACTTTGAGTTGATAGTTATAGCCATCCTGATGATAAAGGATGCAGGCCTGAGCCAGGACCACAGCAGTGGGGATGAAGGAAGGAGGAAGATGGACAGACTGGGAGGAGTTGAGTTGGTAGGGCATATGATTGATTAAATGGAGCAGGAGCAGAGAGGATTTCAGAATGTCACAAGCCTGAACAAAGAAAATATCTTTGTCTTACCATCCAAAGCACCTTTTAGGCCAAAGAGGGATCACCTGTCAGGTTTCAAAATGTACAAAGTCCTTGCAATTTTGCATCTAGGAATTTAACCTGTAGATATCCCCCTCAATAGACAAACATGTATGTTCAAAGGTATTCTTCTCAGCTTTGCTTTGATATTAAGAGATTGGAAACAACCTAAATGTCCCTCAGTTGGGGACCAGCAAAGTTAATTGTGGTATATTCACAAATGCAACACTAGGTAGCTTGCTAAAAGAGGGAGGCAACTCTGTATATCCTGACACAGTTCAGTCATCAGATAGGGAAGGTGCAGTGTTAGAGTATATTGTGACTCATTTGCAAGAAGAAAATAGAAGGATATACTTTATCTTTTCAAAATACTAAAGCATTTATGAATTAAATGATTTACTATCTTGGATTTGCATTAAAATAATGGAATGGGCCTTTTGGCTAGAACTACCATCTTCCAATAATTTCACAAAATGACCAATACAAAGGAAAGAGGTGAGGTGCCAGCTATACACTATACATTTTCTAGGCCTTTTAGAAAACATGGAATTGTTTCTTTGGCCACATACATCTGAATCTACAAGAAAAGTGATGTTGTAGAAATCAAGGGATGTCTACAGATATTCCCTTGGCAAAACCGGATGAATCTACAATGTTACCCAGCACGCAGTGGGCATTGTTGTAATCTTGCCAAGAGAATTAATGTGTGTGTTGAGCATATTAAGCACATTAACAGTCAATAGTTTCCTGAAACATGTGGAGAGAAATGAAGCCAAAGAGAAAGGTACTTGGATTCAACTGAAGGGCCAGCCTGCTCCACCCAGAGAAGCTCACTATGTGAGAGCCAGAGGAAAGGAGCCTGAGCTGTTGCAACCCACTCCCTGTGAATCTATGGCATGAATATATGTATATACTAAGTGGCCAGTTTATTATCAGAGTCCTGTGCATGAATTCGTGCATGGGTGGGGCCTGGCCAGCCTGGCTGGTGGGAGGGGACATGGGTGGTTGGCCCGCCTGCCTGCTGGTCAAACTCCTGGTCAAGGGGGCCATTTGCATATTACTCTTTTATTATATAGGATATACACTGAGTGACCAGATTATTATGATTTCTGAACCCATAATAATCTGGCCACTCAGTATATATGTGTGTGTGTATATATATATATATATATATATATATATATATCCTCTGTAGTGTTTAAAAAATGTTTATCTTAATTGAGAAGTGTTATGCCCCATCCCCAAAAGAAATATTTAAAGAAAACTTTGTGCCCTAAAAAAATGATAGGTTGGGAATTTAGTGGGTAGGGTTAGAAATAAGCAAGACTGCCCACTGAATTGATAATTGTTTAAGCTGATGACCATCACGTAGAAGTGGATTTTATAGCATTTTCTCTATATCTGTATGTTTGTGAAATTTCCCATTTTAAAAAATGGGGCAGATGGTCTCAGCTCTCCATTCTCATTTGTCCCTTTAAACCCTCCATTCCAGCTGAACATGCACCATGTTAGTTCATGCCTCTGACGATACCCTTCCTTCAATCTGGCAGTCTTCTCTGCCTGGCAAATCCCTACTCTCATCAACACCCTGGGCAATGGTCCCTTCCACTGAGAAGCCTCTTCCCACCCCTACAGTCAGAAAAGGTTGTCCCTTCTCGATGCTTGGGGCTCCTTCTATGTGAAGGGTCTCTATTTCTGTTATTGCAAATACTACACTCCAGTGTCGTTACTCATCTCCCCAGTAGACAGTAAACATTTTCGCAAATAAGACAATATCTCATCAATCTTTTGTCTGATCTGGCCCTTAGCTCTCTGCTTGGCTTAGAATTGCCACTTAATAAATATTTGTCAATTAAGAGGTACAGTCTAGCAAGGACATGACTAGTTGTTTGATTTGGTATATGTTAGTTTAGAGAAGTCTGAGGAATATAGGAGAGAAAGTGAATAAGAAACTAGCGTTATTGAGCCTCTGTCAGAAGGGTGCTGGGGCAAGGAACAGGGTAGGGAACAGAAGGCAAGGCTCCTTAAGGACTTTACTTTCCCTTGGTTGGGGGCGAGAATGGAGAAAGATGTAACTATAGAACACTAGAGGCCCAGTGCACAAAATTCGTGCACAGGTAGGGTCCCCAGTGGCTGCTGGCTGCTGGCCAGGGTGCTCCCTTACCCTGGCTGCCTGCAGCTGCCAGCCCCAACCCTGGTTGAACTCCTGGTCAAACTCCCGGTGGAGGGGACAATTTGCATATGAGGCTTTTATTATATAGGATGCTAAGTGCCATGGAGGAAATAGAAATGGCAAAGCTTATTCCACTGCAGAGAAGTTTCATTAGCCCACTTAAGGGTAAGAAGATGAGCAGGGGTTCCGATGAAGTCCCTTTGCAAAGTCCACAGCTGTGAGTGCTGAACAGGAATCCCGCCCTGGGCTGCCCCCTCCAAAGCCCATGCACTTTCCTCTGCCCTGTGCTGCCTTTCAACAAGCAGGTGAAAATTCGGAGCTCAGGCTGAACACTCAGATTTGGATGTCATCTGTCTCTAGAGGAGAATTTAAATGGGGTGGGGGCGGGGAGGAGTAATGGCAGCTGACATTCTTTGAGTACTTAATATATTCACAACCTCACAGTAAGCATTTTACACACAAGAATGTATTTATTCCAGAAAATAACTCTCATGAAGCAGGGACTCTTAACAGCCCCCAATTTACAGTCCAGGAAATGGAAGCTTAGGAATAGTTAAGTTGATAAAGATCACACATCAGCAAACAGAGTCCGGTCTCTTACCCTCCAGTATTTTTATGAGAGAGAGGATTGAGATAGTGGAACCAGTGAAAGAGCCAGATGGTGCAACTAAGGATGTTGGATGAGAAATGGAGGTGGAGAGGAGAGGTGTCCCGAGAGTCCAAGAAAGACTGTTAGAAAAGGGACTCAGGCTTAGAGGCAGAGCCCATGGGAAAATCCAGCAAGGAGACCTGAAGGTTGTGGGATTCGGCCAACATGAGGTGGTAAAGAACCTTTGACAGAACTATTTTGGGAAATGCAAACCTAACTCCCTACAGGCTCACTATCCGAGCCTCTGCTTGCCTTCCCTGTTGTACCCTCCTCCCCCCAAAGACTCCTGTCCATATTCTTCCTACTCAACGTCTCTGTTTGGGGAAGCCCTGGACTGTGCTCCCCATTCCCAGCCCACCTCCACTCTGATCTCAGTCTCCCCATTTCTCCTGGCCCCCAACCCAACACCTCACACCTACAGAGCCAACTCCAACCAGCCAGTGCACCATGTGCAGACTGTACCAGCCTCTATTAAGGCCATTCACTCATAGCGCATGCCCAGGTCCCTGACAAAGGACAGCTGTCTCCCCCACCAGGGACAGGTGCTGGGCTGGGAAGCCGATGGGTGTCAATGGCTCAGAGAAATGGGAGGGAAGAAAAGACAAGAGGTTCCAGTGAGAGTGAATTCACCAGTTGCTTCCCATGACTCTTAATCAATACCACTCAACCTCCTTTTCTGGCTTCATCAGCTTTGCACAGAGCAAGCGAAAGGAGCAGCTCTAATGACCACATGCTTTTGCTTCCCCACCCCCTCCAACCATAACTGTTTGGAACAGGATGGTCACCTTCTCCAAGAGAATCCTGAACTTTGGAATCGGGCCACTTAATGAGTGGCTGAGGACCCAGTGGTCCAAGGACCCCCGTGGTCTAACTGCCCCGTGGAGACAGCCAAGCTGAGTCAGTGAGACTCAAGGCCAGCACGAGGGTTAATAAAGGCCCATGAACAGGCTGCCCCCATCCCTGCCCTTGCTGTGGTCTGATGGTTCAGCTCTTCCTGGGTTTCTACAAGCTAGCTCTTTAATAAAACTTGTGTTGTACCTGTGGGTTTCTGTTGCTGGCATCCCTAATCTTCTTGACCAAGATAGATTTTTGTAGGACTGAGAGCACAAGGCAGGAGTCCGAAGGTGGGAGGCTCTGAGTTTAGGGTTTCAGAAATAACAGTTAAGTGTGTTGATGTCTAAACAGAGTGGAGGTGACCTCCTTCAAGTCCTAGGGTTGAGTCCACTCTGTTCTGTTCAACACACATGTAATGAGCGCCTGCCTTGTGCCTGATGTGGTGCCAGGGGCTAGGGCAGCCAAGACAAACAAGCAGCATCACAAGCAGCAACTGCTCTTGTGACGCTCATAGCCTCAGAGTGGGTACAGACACAGAAGCATACTACAATATGGCATAATGCAAGCAGCAATGGAAGCACATATGAAGTCGGTGGAAAGTGGGGTGGTGGAATGGTTTCATGGAAAACAAGCAAGGCGGTCTTTGAACCAGTTTGGAGTCATCCAGGAAGGCTGAAGAGTCCTGGAGCAAAATCTCCCGGGCTTCAGGATAGGCGGGATGCTGAAGAATGGTGTTGGGGGCACTTGGAAGGTTCAAAGAGGAGTGGGGAAGGGGACGGGGGGGGGGGGGGGGGGAGTCAAACTTTTTTTCCCAGGCAGCCTGGGAAGTGAGCTATGAGCCTCCAGAGATAATGGAGACAATAATAACAAATGTGTGTTGGTGGGTGGGGGTCGGGGGGGAGAAGCCAGTGGAAAAGAAATGTGGGTGCCTCCAGGGAAAGGGGCTCTGGCTGGGGGAGGGAAGGCCTTTACTTATAACTAAACATGGTTCCATGAGGCTCACAAGACAGTGGAGAGTGTCCATTCAATAAATATTGTATTTCCTGAGTGCACGCACCACACTATGTACACAGCTCCTGCCCTGCAGAGCAGGCTAGTGGAGAAAACAGATATTAAACAAGTAATCATACAAATAAATGTACAAAAATACAACTTAAGGTGCTATAAAAGAGAAGTTCAATGAGCTGTATGAGAAACAAGGTCTGAAAAGACTCCCTTTAAAGAAGTGACAGTAAGTGGAAGATAACTGGTGAAGACAGGAAGAGGATAGACTATCTTGGATGTGGGATTTGGACAGATACACTGACAAAAAGAAGGGAGAGGAGGTCAGGATAGCAAGAGACCTTGGGGGCCTTGGGAGAAAGGTTCTGAGAAGAGAGGGGTCACCCCTGTCCCGGCCTTCATTTCTCCTGATCGCGGTTAGATGAAATTCACTGAAATTCATCTCCTCGCCAGTGAACAAACTTCCCTCCTTTACTAATGGACCGGTTCGTTCATCCATCCAATCCATCCATAGTGAGCCCGGTCCTGAACGAGGAGGCACCAAGAGAAGAAGCAGAGGGACACCCACCGGCCTGAGGAGTTTATAAACAACAGAAATGCTATTCTGGCACTTTCTTTCTATTGTCTTGACCTCCTGCCTACCAGGCAATGGAAGGAGGATGAAGAAGCAACTGCGCTCATCAGAATGCAGAATATGGGAAACGCTAATAAAGTCAGGGCCGATAGCACCCTGATCTCTCATCCCCAGTGGCTGAGGGAACATGGGAAGGAGAGGGATGAGTGGTCGCATGTCCAGGTGGGCAGGACCGTGGCTGAGACTTTCTTTTCAGAGTCCAGTCATTCACGGTGGGCTTCCCTCACCTAAACGAAAATCTCTGTAGTGCAGATACAAAATGTGCCACGCGGGAACTATTTACAGAATCCTATAATTTATTAAATAGAATCCATTTCTGTCCAATAAGGGCTGTCCTCACAGAAAACAGTAGGAGAATCACTTGGGTGAGGAAGTCACCGGGCCTGTGACACTCAGGAATCACAGGGATTTCCCACAGTGGCCGCAGCTCAAACCCTTTGGTTCTGTCCCCACATTGGGGATCTGGCCCCACGGAGGGTCCTCCCTTGGTTCTGGCCTCTCTGGCCTTGGCCCTCTTGGCCTTGGCTTGGTTGCTTTGGTTATTCCAGATTCATGGGTCACACACAGCTCTGGGGAAGCCCAAGAATCCCTGAAGCTGGAGGCTGCCAGTGTTCCAGGAGCAAACCGGTTTATGCTTGGAATTCCTATGTTAGCAACAAAGGTTACTTAGCATTATTCCAAAGGTTAACGTTCATTCCCTCTAGCAGGTGGGATTGTATATAGCGTATATTCGTTTTGCACCTATGCATTTTTCTAAATTTCCTTCAATAATCATGGATTACAGTAGTAAGAAGGAAAAAGAAATATTTTTCCCAGTGTAGCGGAGGTGGGAAGCCAGGGTATGGCTTTCTTACCTTTCCAGAGCGAACAGCCCAAGAGAGAAGCTGGTGTGGATAAGGAGTAGCCCTCTTATTGCATGTTAGATAAGCCTTATAAAATTAAATAAAAGCATATTCACATTTGTCAAACCACTCACGGATGTGGCACCCGTGGGATTTCGAAGAACCCTTCACAGACTTGCCTCCCAGACCCACTCAACAGCCCTGTGAGGTAGGTCCGTCTGGTTCCCTTCTCTATGTGGGGACCTGGAGGAATTTGGCACAGGGAGTGTGGAGTCGAGTCCAACGTGAGGTCTCCAGCCAGTCCTTCCCTTTAAGAGGCTTGTCCCGCTGAGCTGCCTGAGTGACCAGCAGCAGAATCTCAGGGCAGAACAAACGGGGTCCCAGGACGCGGCCACACAAAGCATTGGCTGCCTGGGGCCTGGCTCTTTCAGATTTGCCCTACTTAAGGGCCTCCCTTCTCAGGACTGTTCTATAATCCAAAGTCGGCTGTCATTTGGCAACGTGACATCCATGGGGCACGACTGGAAAAACCCTGGTTATTCCGTACTTTTTGTGGCTGGAGGAGAAGGTAAGGACGGTGAAACTCTCAGAAAGCCTGCCATAGCTTTCCTGATGTTCCTTGGTGGTCACGTGTTCTGACAACAGTTACAACTGCAACTTTGGGCAGAAAATAGGTTGAAAGTCTGTTTCAGTGTTTTCCATCAGAACAAGGTCATACCGACACAACTGGGGCCTGCAAAAAAAAAAAAAAAAAAAAAAAAAAAAAAAAAAAAAAGATGAAATAGTCTTGTCAATGAAATAATAAATATACCCTATTCTAGTCAAATACCTTGTATTATATCCCTAGGATATGAAATGCTTTAGCAATTATTTCTAACTAGAAGCCCGAAATTAGTGCACAGATTTCCCTCAGCCCAGCCTGTACACTCTCCAATCTGGGACCCCCTTGAGGGATGTCCAACTGCCCGTTTAGGCCTGATCCTGTCTAGGCAGTCGGACATCCCTCTCACAATCCAGGACTGCTGGCTCCCAACTGCTTGCCTTCCTGCCTGTCTAATTGCCCCTAACCACTTCTGCCTACCGGCCTGATGACATTATGGGTGATGTTTCTCTACTTCCTAACACTTTCTGCACTTTCCAAAATTTTTAAATTAATATGTATCCCTTTGGTAATCAGAGAAAAAAATATTAGAAGAAACTTATATTATTAAATGTTTTACTATACCCTAAACCTTAGAAGAAACTTGTATTATTAAATGTTTTAGAGTACCCTAAACCTCCAGGAGAAGGGAATTTTAAAGTACTAACTGCTCACATCACTTCCTGTCTCCCTTGTGCCTGATGTTGGATGCTAGAACTATATGTGCCATTAGTTACTAAACATACATACCATCTCAGCCTTTTCTTTTCTCGTCTCTGTCTCTACTCAAACACACATGCACACACACACACACACACACACACACACACACACAAACACACTCGTTGTTTACTTTTTTTTTTTAACCAATTGAGAATAGGTCATTTACCACTTAATTCTTCAGTGTGTATTTCCTAAGAACAAGGACATTCTCACTGCAGTTATCAAATTTAACTTTCATGCAGTACCAAGGGAATAAAATATTCTAATTGTTCTATACCACTTTTTTATACCAGGGACCTGTTCTATCAGTTTGCTGAATTATATGAGACTTTCTTTTCTACAACAAATTAGGAACTTGCAAAGCAGTGTGGATAGAGTGGTTAGGAAGGGACTATATAACTCTCTACATATAAGGACAATTATTTCTTTGGACTATTGATTGGGTCATTTATTTTTAACTGCATACCAGTAAAATTTCCTTGGATTGCTGGGCTACTTGTTTTTTATCAAGTATATTTTGGGAAAACTCTTCACTTCCTTCATTGTGATTGATGAAGGCCAATTATAGCATTAGACCAAGCAGACTGGACAAGAACCAGCGACATCTTTGGAAAACAGGGGCCTGCCTATGTATGGCTCACCTCTCTGGATGGGTGAGTGACCTTAACTTCATCCGGAGAATCCTGAGCTTGTACCTCGGGCCAACTACAGAGCCTGTGGAGAACACCAGCGAAATGGTTGCCACTTTGTCCAGGTCTTGACTAAACCTTGCAAGCAGACTCACTTGGTGGTATTTCTGGAATGTTGCAGGTTCACTAGAAGGAAGAAATACTATTTTTATTTTACTTATTTTTATTTTTTTAGTTGAAAGTGTAACATATGTCCCCTTTCCTCCCCCCTTCCATTGACTCCCTCGAGCCTGCCCCTGCCCCCCATCCTCGGCCTTCAGAAATACTATCGATATTTTTAAATGAATATTGATTGCTAGTGAAAGAGTTTTGTAACTTATAAATCAGTAAACAGGCAGCCATTTGACTCCATAGCCTGCAATAGCCGACTTTCGTGGGCAAAGTCCACTGGCTTCCCAAGCACTGCTGACCCCAGGACTCAGGAAATGCTGTGATTTTAGAGAGGCATGTGCTGCCTGCAATAGCCAGGCAGCATCTCAACTCTTGACACATGTCTCCAACCCCCTGAAAATTACTGCAAGGTGAGTGTTATTATCTTTATTTCACAGACAAGGAAACAGATACTTTTAAAGTATGACTATTGCCCTAACCGGTTTTGCTTGGTGGATATATAGAGCGCTGACCTGCAGATTCAAGGGTCCCAGGTTCAATTCCGGTCAAGGGCATGTACCTTGGTTACAGGCACATCCCAGTAGGGGGTGTGCAGGAGGCAGCTGATTTATGTTTCTCCCTTATCAATGTTTCTAATTCTCTCCCTCTCCCTTCCTCTCTGTAAAAAAAAAAAAAAAAAAATCAATAAATATATTTTAAAAAAATAAAGGATGACTGTTATAGGATGTGAATTATATTTCAATTTCTTAAAAGGTTAAAAACAAGAAATGCATGTAAAGTGTGGATATAAAAAGAGTCATCAGGCAGATAATCACCTTGAATGTGACTCCATTTGCACCCATAGTCTGGTAAGACTGAATAAACTCAAAGTACATATTGTAATATCATTTCCTTTACCTTAAATTGTAAAAATACTAAAATGTCAAAGTTTACCTTGCAAAAAAAGGTAGCCATTATTTCCCACATAATAAAACAAATATTTCCTTTTATTCCTATATATTCCCTCATTGGTGATGACTTTTTCACAAGCATGACTAAAATGAGAATGATTAAACATGACTAATATGAAGATGTTAAGGTCTCTATCAAGATTTTAAAAACCTCCAAATTTAGGAGTCCCTACTTGGAAGAAATTTACTATGTAAAATTAAAACTCCTAAGACAGGTACGTATGTAAGCAATTATTGACACAAATACTCACGTTTTGCTAAGCAAACACTCTCCATTATGTAACGGCATGATCTCCCCTGCTATTCCCTAGAATCTCCAGATGAGGTCTCTGCCTCGCTTCCTCACTGAAGGTCACAGCTCAGAAACTCCCTGAGGCTGATTCTTCAAGATGTGCTACACCTAGGGTGCCCACCCTGGAAATGCTGCCCCACTGTGGGTGTGAGGACACTCACACGATAGTGCCGTCATTGACGATACCCCCAAAACCCCACTACTCACAAATCCTAATAATGGTGGGGTGGAGGGAGCAATTCAGTTTAGGAATACTGTATGATGTATAATGTACTGATTAAAGCTATGGGCCTGGGGTTGAACAGAGATCTGTCTCTGCTTTCACTTCATTCGCTCTGATCAGCCAGCTGTATGATACTGGCCATATCACTTTCCTCATTTATACAATAGAGATGGTAATACTACCTCACAGGGTTTTAGTGAGAATTACATTAACTAATGTGTATAATGCACTTACTTCAATAAACAAAGGCTATTATTATTATTACTATCCAAAGATGCATTTTTAAAAAGTCACCTCGCCTGGCTGGTGGTGCTCAGTGGCTAAGCATGGACCTATGAACTGGGCTCAATCCTGAATATGGGGTGTGCAAGAGGCAGATGATCAATGATTCTCAGCATTGATGTTTCTACATCTCTCTCCCTCTCCCTTCCTCTCTGAAATCAATAAAAATGTATTTGAAAAGTCACTTCTAAACCACCCATCTACACTGTCTCTATCTACACAGTGAATCCATAAGGCAATTGTCAATTTCAGATGATATTCTACTTGGTCCTCTATGGGTCAGACCAAGAGACAACCCAAATACCTACTAAACAACAGGAACCAGGAAACCTTTTCTGATAAAATGAATAATATAAGCCTCAAGGTTTTTTTTGCTTAAAGAGTTTTTGGTTTCTTTGTTCTCTTTCTCAATTGTAAAAGTAATAGATGAAAAAAATATTAATTAACAATTTTAAACAATATGTAAATATACATATGTAACACATATATACAATATATAGAACATTGAAAAAACAAAGAGAAACTAAAATAAAGCACTCATATTTCACAACTCAGGGGCAATCTAATATTTTGGTGTGTTTCTATTTCATTTTTATTAAATTAAGCTAAAATTTTATACATAGATAATACATGTTGCACTTTATAGTTGACATAATTTGATATCCTGAAGTTTTTCACTTAGTATACTATAAACATTTCATTTAATATATTTCATAAATAATCCCATCGCATGAATAGTATTGTGTAATATGGGAACATTTAAATTAACCATTTCTTCTCTGTGGAGGCTTTAGGGTGTTTCCAATATTCAATTGCAACTTACATGTTCTGAGTTCCAAAAACATATACATATGTTTACATATATGTATGTGTGTGTGTATATATGTAAGTATGTTTATGTATAGTATGAGCTCATAAAAGAATAGAAACATATGTGTATGGGGGTGGATGCCTGTGGGGGTGAGATTATTGGGCTGGACCAAGAATGTGCACTTTTATTTTACATACTCCTTTACTGTTTAAATCCTTTACAGCAAGCAAAGGTGAGTTTTGTAGTTAATTGCTTAAATTAAACAAAGGAATGAAGGAGAAGAGGGAGAAAAGGAAGGGAGGGTGAAGGGTAGAAGTAGAAAAGGGAAAGAAGGGAGGGAAGGAGGAAGAGAGGAGGCAGGGGTAATAAAAACCCTTGCATCAATTCCATTTGTAAAGGTCCTGGGAGATCAAGAGCCACAAGAAGCATCTAAACAATATGTCCCCTTACATCTTTTGTAAAACAAAGAAAAGTACAGACATGTAAATAAGACAATAGGTATATTTGGAATTTCTCTGAGCAAAAATAAAAATAAAAATAGCAAACTGTAAATGATCCCAACCCAACTTACTGATCGATTTTGGATTCTGTGGTAGTTCCAGCTTTGTCTTTCAGTTTGATTGTGATGGTCCCTCTTCTTACGTTCTTGTTCCAAGTTATAATGTCCACAAAGTAATGATATACTGCAAACGCAGGAGAAAACATGGTAAGAGAGAGATACTCCCAACTGCTGTACTAAAGGGCCAGTTCCTAAAAACCCAACCTCCCCACTAACTGAGTCTCTTTAAATTCCTCTCTAGTTTCTCTGCCAACATCACGGCAGAATTTTCTAAAACTCCTTTCTATTCCCTTTGGTAAAGATGACTTGAGTGACAGCAGAACCCAATGGTATCCAGTCGCCATGTTTAGGCATCACAGTTGAAACAGTGCTCCCACCTATTGAACCTATTGCTGAGTGACAAGTTCACTTCAATCCCTGCCCATTTTAGAATAAACCAAGCAGGTGGCCATTCAGAGACCCCCACAGCTGTCAAGGTCTTCCCCAGCCTGGGCCACATCCACAGCGATTCAGCCTCCCTCTTCACTTCTTTGGTCATGCCACCCCACCTGCACTGCCAAGCTCCCTCTTGGTCCTGAGCCTTCCCCTCACTTGGGCACTCCTTTGCCACCTTTGCCAACTCATCCATCAGGTTTCAGCTTAATGTCACTTTGTCCAGGAGGCCTTCATTGACCATCAGATTAAGTCAGGTCTACCTCTTGAAATTCTTATCATGCTCTGGGATTCTCCCAGTATTAATCAGCACACTTTACGGTATTTTTAAAATGCAAGAAAGAAAATGATAATCAAAATGTGGTAAATGAATGGGTACATTCTATTATAAATATTGCCTGAATAGTGTCTTATGGAGTTACAAAAAAAACGATAAAACTAAAATATACTACAACAATAAGTGGGAAGGAATAAAGGAACTATTATTCCTCATATAATCTCAGCAATAACACCTTATAGACACCCATTAAATTCCTACTCAATAAATGAGAGTGACTGATGTGTTCAGAGAACTCTTCTTCCTCCCCACTCATTGTTCAATGTGGTCAAGTATGCTTTGGGAAGATGGGATCCCACTATGGCATTCAAATTTGTTATCTCTTGGTCAGACTTGTAGAGAAGGGGAAGAGGCTCAGGGAGACGGCTGAACCACAAAGGAGTAAGGTAAGCCCTGGAGTTGCCATTTTATGACCCATTCTTGCCCAAGGGCCTGCTCCATTTGGGCCTGGCAGACACAAAACCCTTGGCTGCCATATGTGGCTCTAAAGAAGGAGGGAAACCCAGTGATCTGCAGCCTCTTTATAAGTGTTGCTCCCAAGAAAAGTGAAAAGGGAGATAAGATTATAAGACATACATCTGCAGGGGCAAATTCCTTGCTTGTCAGGCCATCTTATCTATTATCCCATTTAGCTCCCATCTGGAATACCCAATCTCTCAATGTCTTTTGAAGGTCATCATAGTTGCTTTAGAGGTGGAGATGATCCACCCGTAGATGTGGCTGACACCTGATTTTTCCTAGAGCCATTCTCAAGCAATTCTCTGGAAGATGTTAGTGATTACAATGGCCAGCCAATGAAGCTAACAGCTTTGTTGATATTTCAATCCTTATTACCCAGAAGATAGACATTCTTATCCCCATTTAACCTAGCAGGACATTGAGACTCAGCGAGGTCAAATGTCTTGAGTAAGGTCGCACAGTGATGATGTAGTTTCAGGATTCAACCTAGGTCTTTCCAGCTCCAAAGTCCACACTGCACGATGGCTGCATTTACTAAGAAGTAGCTGGGAAGTTGAGACTCAGCCATTCCAAAAATAAAGGGGGTGGGCAAAAGCAACAACCACATCCACCACTCACTGCAGAACGGTTTCTCATCAGCTGTGTCAAAGTATGCTTTAGTCATTGGAGGGTCTTTCTCCGTTAAGTAGTCTTTCGAATTATCAGCATAATAGCCTACAAAACAAGTTGGAAAAGTGTAACGGTAACATGTATTACATAAACGTAAAAGCAGGTGGGGAGGCAGCAAGAACAGCGAGTGTGGCTTCCATTCCCACTGAGATAATTTCCCTCATGCCTCATGGTGAGGACCCAAAGAGCCACCAGGGCATTGTCTGCCTAGCACCCACCACACTCTGCTCACTACCCGATCCGATCCCTAAGAGCTGGGACATGCAAAAGAGCCCTACCGTGGTTTTTCCTTCCTTCCCACCAACATTATGTCACCCAGCCTGGTTCTCAGTAGCATAGGTGGAAAAGTGGAGCAGACTAAAAATAGTGCTGATATTTTCCCATAATACATTCATTGTATAGCTTAAATAGATTCGGGGACCTAGAACAGCATCACTTCTGCAAAGCAATGTGCTTTCTTGAACTGCAATCTAGCCCCTAACCTGCATACAACCTGGGTTTGCCAAGAGACTATGTCATCAAGCAGGTGAATGTCCTCCTTCACGCGTGTGACTTCAGGAAGGAGATTGAGTGCCCTCAGAACATCAGTGCGGCCTCGCTCTCTCTTCTCTGTCCCCACTCCTATGGAACTGCCTCTGCCTTCTGACTTGAACTGGGGAGGGACCCAGGCATCAGTATTTTTTTAAAGCTCTCTAGGTGATTCCAATGCATAATCAGGGTTGAGAATCCCTTGTCTACAGAACGCCCTGACATTAACTTGGGTTTTTCCTTTGGGAGCAATTAGAAAATTCTCATAACTCTCTGGTTCCAAGGTCTGCACCACCTGAAATGTATTAGCAAATATCACAGCAGCCTCCAGCTTATCCATCATGCCTTCCCACCCCTGTACAATGCACACGAGAGTCAGTATGCTATGAGGGCACTTACAGACACACAACTTGTTGGAAGGAATAATTCTGCAAGGCTCATGTAATCAAAGGGATCAAAGAGGTTGTATGCAAGGAGAGGGTATTCCTGTCCCCAAGGGAGCAGGTTACATAAATGATTGTGCCCTGGGTGGGCTTAGAAACTTTTCTGGAACCTTCTTTTTCATGCTAGAATAGAGTGTCCAGAGAGGTTACTCTGAAATCCTATGCAGGTTGCTTTTCTAACATTTATTAGAAGACCCCAGAGTACTTTACAAAACAAATTGGCTAGAAAAAGCTGACTGTATAAGTTTTCCAAGAGCACACAATTTCCAGGCTTATTTTTAGATAGTAAAATAGTGCTGGGATTCCTACCAAAAATTTGCTCTTTGTTAACCAGAAGAAAAACTGCTTGTTGGACTTACCCAGGAGTGGACAGGACTCCTTTTGTGGTATGCCACAGCTGACACACTTGCCATTCCTGTAATCCCTGTAGGAGTTGCAGGGATATGCGGTGACCGTGCAGTTCTCTCTCAGGGAAGAGAGGTACAGGAACACGGACTTCTGGTGGTCACACTTAAAGTACTGCATTCCTGGGTTGTGAAAGGAATAGTTAAAGAGTAGAGCAGTTGTAGCATTTAAAAACAGTATATCACATATGGTATGTGTATACACACACACACACACACACACACACACACACACACACGTAAACACAATTTGTCATCTCTCTTATATACCAGGTACTGTACTAACAACTACAGTATATTCTATTCCATTCAATCCTTATGAAATTCTATATTCTATTCCATTCAATCCATAGATCAGAATTCATGCTAACAAATGACAGGAGAAAAGATGACAGGCATGATTGTCCCATTTTATGTAGCAGGACTTTGAGACTCAGAGAGGTTAAATGACTGGACCAAGGTCACACAGTTATTATGTGGTAGAATCAGGACTCAACCTATGTCCTTCTTTTGTCAGTGAAATGGAGAAGAAAAATTCAGTGGTAGTCAGAGATTCCCCAGAGATTTTTAGCAGAAGATTAGCATGCAAGTACATTTAAACTATTCAAGATATCAAAAAAAGAAGCCATGGGGGAGAGGGGAGGAGGGAAATGATAGAGGAATATCCTCAAGATGGGAAGGAGCCGGGACCGGTTTGGCTCAATGGATAGAGCGTCCGGTTGGGGACTGAAAGGTCCCGGGTTCGATTCCGGTCAAGGGCATGTACCTTGGTTGCGGGCATATCCCCAGTGGGGGGTGTGCAAGAGGCAGCTGGTCGATGACTCTCTCTCATCGATGTTTCTAGCTCTCTATCTCTCTCCCTTCCTCTCTGTACAAAATCAATAAAATATATATTAAAAAAAAAAAAAAAAAAAAAAAAAAAAAAAAGATGGGAAGGAAGAAAAGATAGCTTTGGGAAAGAATTATGGATGACTCCACCCTGGGTCTGGATGAAGTCACTCAGAAAATGTCCTAAAGATGGGTAATCAATGGAGGTAAGAGGTAAGGATCTGAATGGGAAACCGAACCCCATGAAAAGAGGAGTTATGTCTATGAGCTAGTAGTTTGTAGAGGCACTGAGTGCTGGAGTCAGAACATTTCCTCTTTCTCCAAAGTTCTCTTATGCCCACTTAGGAAGCCAATATTTATTTGTTATTCCTAGATCTCCCACTTGCAAAAACAATGAAGTAACAATACAGAGGATGTCCTTTATAAGCAGAGCATGTTATCTTTGTCTGTTCATGGATATAGTTACACTATATCACACAGGACAGGACTGCTTACCATTTATGGTACCATATGGTTGGCTCTTTTATGCCATTACATTGGGATCATTTTCAAAAACTACATTATTTCCATGGGGCCATATATATATATATATATATATAGCTACCATTTTGTAATAAGATAATCTTTTTCTACAATTATTTCCAGGATTGTTTAACTTTCTTTAGCAATAGTGAAATAAATATTTAGAATACTGAGGGATAAGTTTTTCATTTGGTCACACACTACACTTTTATGTTGTCCTCCAATGACCCATTTTTGTGTTGTGAGGTTTTTCCCATTATAAAAGTAATATATGCTCAATTTAGAAAAAAAAAAAATAATGAAGTGAAAATCTCATAGTAGTCTAATGACTAGAGATCACCCTAATAATTGTTTGGAGCATTTAAATTTAGTCTTCTTTTCTATACTTACACCTGTACAAATACACAGCCTACTTAATAAAAGCCTAATATGCAAATCGACCAAATAGCGGAATGACCAACAGAACATCAGGTCACTATGATGCACAATGACCACCAGGGGGCAGACACTCAATGCAGGAGCTGCCCCAAGCCCACAGGCCTCAGGCCAGCTAAGGCAGGTGCCAGCAGGGGCCCCCCCAATCACCCCACCAGTCTCCCCACAGATCAGCCCTGATTACTGGCCAGGTCTAGGGACCCTACCTGTACAAGAACTTCATACACTGGGCCTCTAGTTTTATATAATAAATCCTAATATGCTAAGTTGGCCATTCAACCAATCAAAGTGTAATATGCTAATGATATGCTAAAGTTACACAACCACTCGCTATGATGTACACTGACCACCAGGGGGCAGACAGTTGACCAGTTGTTATGACATACACTGACCACCAGAGGAACAGATGCTCCAACTGGTAGGTTAGCTTGCTGCTGGGTCCAGTGATTGGAGACTGAGATGGGCTGGACATGCCCTGGAGCCTTCCCATATCCCTCCCCAGCTGGCCAACCTTTTGCATCCCTCTCTGGCCCCAATTGTGCACTGATGGGGTCCCTCAGTCTGGCCTGTGCCTTCTCACAATCTGGGACCCCTTGGGGGATGTCAGAGAGCCGATTTCGGCCCAATCCCGCAGGCCAGGCTGAGGCACCCCACTGGTGCACGAATTCATGCACCAGGCCTCTAGTTTAAAAATAAGTTAGGATCAGACTATAGAGTTTTTATCTTTTTCTTTTTAACATCATATTGCAAACATTTTCATTAATCTCTAAAATATGATTTTTAACATTATATTCTTTTGTGTAGGTGTGCCATATTCATTTAATAATTTTCCTATGTTGGACATTTAGATTAATTCCTTAAAAATTAACTATTATAAACATCACTGTTATTGAATACCTTTGCACTCTAATTTTTGTCTACATTTTCTATTATTTCTCTAAGAGAGATTTCTAGGTCAAAAACACATCTTTTCAAGAAGGACAGATAACTTGTAACAGCTTTTAATCATTTGGTTATAGTTATTAACCAAATGTATATTTAAGTAATAATTATAGTTTGTAACATATTTATACCACTTCTACTTTCTCAGGAATCTTTTTTACTAATAACTACCCCACATAGGATATCAGATTTTTAAAATATGCTTTTTAAAAACCACTATTTTACAAAATATAAAGTATCTGAACTTACCTCCAAATATTGTTTTGGGGCAACCAGGTTGATCCAATCCTCCATTTGGATAGAAGTCTATGTTTCCTAATGGCTCCTTGTAGCCCAGTGCTAAAAGAGAATATGCTATGCTTTATACTGTTTTGAACTTTGCACATCTCATAGTTCATTTGCCTGCAGGATATGGGCAAGTGCTGTGTTGTTGTTGTTATTGTTGTGACTATTATTATACCTACTTAAATATTTTGCCCAAGGTTACCTAGCTAGTTAAAGAGCATCATTGCTGCACACAAACACACACACACACACTCTAATAGGAGACTATGAAGATAATGATGGAATTTATTTCTGATATTTATAAAGACATAAGACGGCTTGGTCACTCATTCACTTTAAGGCTGATAAAAAGAACCCCATGAAATGAAGAGCTATGTCTGTAAACTAGTGGTTTGGAGAGGTACTGAATGCTGGAGTCAGATCAACATCTCTATCTCTTTTTCTTTTCTTTTTTTCTTTTTTTTTTTGTTAATCCTCACCCTTACCCTAGGATATTCTTTCCATTGATTCTTAGAGAAAGTGGAAAGGAGGGAAGGAAGAAGGGAGGGAGAAAAACATTGATATGAAAGAGACACATGGATTGGTTGTCTCCCACACACACCCCAATTGGGGTCAGGGATCGAATCTGCAACCCAGGAACCCAGCCTTGATGGGAAATCAAACCCTTGATCCTTTGGTGTGTGGGCCAATGCTTTAACCACTAAGCAACACCAACCAGAGCTATACTTTTCTTCTTTATATTTGTCTGAAACTCTCTATTTCCTGAGCCTCTACTTGCATTTGTGTAAATCTTTAATGAATAAGAAACTGGGAAAAATGAACTTTTACTTAGTAGAAAAAAACTCTTTAAAAAATTGGGATTTAAGATGGCAAAGAGATTGGAAACTCTTCCAGAAAACAGGGACCTAAAAAATTATCTATATATAGCCGAAACCGGTTTGGCTCAAGGGATAGAGCATTGGCTTGGGGACTGAAAGGTCCTGGGTTTGATTCCGGTCAAGGGCATGTACCTTGGTTGCGGGCATATCCCCAGTAGGGGTTGTGCAAGAGGCAGCTGATCGATGACTCTCTCTCATCGATGTTTCTAACTCTCTATCTATCTCCCTTCCTCTCTGTACAAAATCAATAAAATACCCCAATATATATATTTTTAAAAATATCTATATATATATAAAAGCCTAAGCAACTATTATGACCAGTCAACTGGTCGCTATGATGCACACTAACCATGAGGGGGCAGATGCTCAATGCAGGAGCTGTCCGCTGGTGGTCAGTGCACTCTCACAGCCAACCTCCTGTGGCCCAGCCAACCTCCTGCTGTTCCTCCCACTGGCCGGCAGGCCACGATCACCAGCCAGGCCGAGGGACCCCATCTGTACACAAATTCATGCACTAGGCCTCTAGTAGATTTAATAACTGCTTATTCTCTTTAACCTTAAGACCCCAAATAATCAGTAAAACATTTGATTAAAAATATTATTTATATATGTATATAAATAATGTTTACATCATTGCAATGATAAAAGTTATTATATATTGAGAACTTGTATGTGTTTGTGGGCATGATATGAGGTGTTTTACACACTTTCTAACTTTACAATGTCTGCAAAGTAGCCATTGGTAAGTTCAGGTGAAGTAACTTACAGATGAAGAGACTGAGGCTCAGAGGACTTCAGGGACAAACATGACCCACTAGAAAGAACAAAATCTGGGATTTGAGTCCATCTCTGCCTACTACAAAGTTTATAGGCCTCAAATGTCACTTTCTCTACAAAAATAAAAGATGAATTGCTCTATTCCACCAAGCATTAAGATGGCAGTGAGGTGCTACCCTTAAGATAATACTCTGCAACTGCATGGTAAGAATACAGCTGTTTCACAGAAACATTTTTTCTAAGGCAAACCATTGCTGAATACCACATCGAGAAAGATTATTTTTTAAGGTGGTTGTATCACAAAAAGGGTGTGCAATTAAATGGTCACTCTGCTCTATCCTCTCAGCCCTCCCCAAGTTCCTACTCCACCTTTTCTCTCGGAATGCTGGATATAAAGCCCCATTCTTAACGTCACCCAAACTCCATGATGCGCACCCAATCCCAGATAGGAAATCAGCGCCACAAAAGCTAGAAATGTCCAGGAAGGCCTATAGAGAGCTGGTAGTTCAGAATCAATCACTCTGTGTAGAGTTATAAAACACAGGACAGTGTGTTTCAGTTTAGGGAAATAATGAGAAAGAACCAACAAAAAACAGGAGATCATGCATGGAGATCCAGTTGTACATCTGGAAACATTTGTCCACAAGCTATGCAAAGCAGACAGTCCTTGATTGGTCAAGAAGACCACTTAAAAATAAGAAGAAATCCAGCCGCCTTGGCTCAGTGGTTGAGCGTCAACCTATGAACCAGGAGGTCACAGTTCGATTCCTGGTCAGGGCACATGCCCGGGTTGTGTGCTTGATCCACAGCGTGGGGAGTGCAGGAGGCAGCTGATCAATGATCCTTTCTCATCACTGATGGTTCTCTCTCTCTCTCTCTCTCTCTCCCTTCCTCTCTGAAATCAATTAAAAAAATTTTTTTAAATAAAAATAATAGGAAGAGATGACAAGAAAAGCACCTCCACTCCAGCAAGCGATCCTGGGTGCCTGTATCAAGATCCACAGAAACCTTCGCTTCCAGATTTCTGTGGATTTGGAACTCTGCCCGGGAGAAAAAGGGAACCTGGAGGAACCTGATCTGCCCCTGCATGGCAGTCCCCCAGGAGAAGACTCCACGGGAGTCTGGGTGAGGGGGGTCCCTGGCTCGCAAGCATGGGAATGTTACCGTCAATGTCGGAATGGATGACGTCCACGAACTGTGCATCACTGGGATCTAATCTGTCCTCGGGCGGTTTTCCGTTGAATAAAGGGCCAGCGGGGTCCAGGCCTGGAAAGAAAAACAGAGCTGGTGAGGCAAGCCCCACGCCATGAGTCACCTGCAGCTTTTGATCCCTCTCCTTGAAGAAGGCTCACAGGCTGCAGGGTACCCCCGAGTGGGCAAGCACCCACATTCTCATCCTGTTCCGTCAGACTCCTTTCCACAACCCTCCAGCCTTTTCCCACAGGAGAGGTGGCTCCCCTGGCAGAGTCCCCAGGACGGCATCCGGATTCCACCTGGAAGTATAGCTTGTGCTCAGCTCAGCAGCAGAGAGTACACAGACGTATGGGGGACAGGGGAGCATAAACTGGTTCCTCAGGAAAAAGCACTGGAGGGGGCATATAAAAAGCAAACACTATACTCACCTGTATCTTTATCTCGTTTTAAATGATCCAGGAACTTCCCTAAACCTTTTCTACTTCACAGTTTCAATTTGTATTCACATATACCAGCTCATAAGCTCCACATCACAAGCTTTGAGAGAGCCAGGGTAGCTATTATCTTTCTCATTTTACATATGAATGAACTGAGGTTCAGGGAGTTCAAGTGTCTTAACCAGAGCCACAGAGTCACAATGCAATCACCTCTCTCGGTGGAGCTCTCGGTTTTATTGCACTGGCTCTGGCAGGCGCGGTAGGAAAGAGTGAAACTCCCGTCAGCATGGTATCAGACCAGGTATCGAGGAGGGAAACAATGTGGGTGTCAGTTCCTACAGAACTGACCCATCCCATAAACGCCTGCACTGATTTCTTGCCCTTGGTCAATGTCAGCTGGGCGTTCCTCACCTTCATTATGAAACAGCTGTAAAAACAAGACAGCAGCTCCCATGACGCTATACCCACAAAATAAAAACTTTAAACTAAAAAGAAAACAAACAAAAACAAACACCAGAGGTTCCAACAGGCCCCGCTTACTAGAAGCCTGCAGCGAAGAAACTTTCAAGGGACTTAGTGAAGATTTTATCTACGAATGTCATGTTAAATGACAACTCCCCCTTTCCTGATGTTTCATATACAAAATTTAAGTGATAGTGTAGTTGCCTCAACTTTGCAGGATCTAACCTCAAATTCTCCGTTTCTACCCTCTCAACACTCTTGCTTCCTTGAGGCTTATCTTTTTATGATATTTCCTTAGCTCCTTCTCTACCCTTACCCCTAGCTTTTCTTATTTTTCTGTCTGCTCCCAATGAAACTGATGAGGGAGAAGATGGATGATCACCCAGGCACCCAGGTCCGCAGGATCCTCTCAACAACAACAAAAAAAGAGAAGCTTCTGAAACTGGTTTGGCTCAGTGGATAGAGCGTCAGCCTGCGGAGTGAAAGGTCCCAGGTTCGATTCCCGTCAAGGGCATGTACTTTGGTTGTGGGCACATCCCCAGTAAGGGGTGTGAAAAAGCAGCTGATCAATGATTCTCTCATCGATGTATCTAACTCTATCCCCCTCTCTTCCTCTCTGTAAAAATCAATAAAATATATTTTTAAAGAGAGAGAGAGAGAGAGAGAGAGAGAGAGAGAGAGAGAGAGAGAGATGCATAACCTTGCAAAGTGTGTGCTG